TCGTGGACCCCTTCAATGTTCTCCGACCAGCTCTGCGTGATCATGTTCACACTACCGACAATGCAGTTCAGTACTGGGAGCGTACAATGAAGGAGTCCAAGTACGTGCCAGGTTGCTATGAAGCCAACCATAGCTGACGTTGTTTAGGGCAACATACACAAAGATCAAGCCTCACCAGATCAACATCTCAAACCTAGTTGAGCTACAGATCGCTTTCACAGTGGTTCGCACATCTCTTTGTTCCTAAGCTATGTTCGATCTGTGTTCTAGACCGTACTGTCAGAAGGTGAGTGCTATATGCTGATTCTCACTTGGAGCGTGCTTGCTGATTTGATTATAGGACTTCAATCTAGCTTCAATTGCAGCTTTGACAAAGCGTGCCAAGTCTCCCAGACGTCTTTGAAGCGCAAGGTCGGCTACGGCGACAGCGAGGAAGATGACACAGACTCTGTGTTGAAGCGTATGCGCTTGGACGATAGTGACTTGCAGGACAGTGCAGTTGTATCTCAGACAGATGTGCCTATGGCTGGGTAGAAGATGTAGAGTTGGCATGTGCTTCTTCTAGTGAATTGAGCTTCTCTTCTCGGTGCATGAATGTGAATGTGAACACGTGATTCTTGAATCTGAATATCGACTTGAATGAGAACACAGTGATCTTTGAATCTGAATATCGAGAGACTATCGAGAAGCTATCACTGCAGCCATTGTTCCAACCACATCCTATTCATCCACTGCACACATCATGGAGACTGGACTCTTTCCACACACCACCTCTTCTGGCCAGATCCTTAGCAGTCATCGCCAGTGCCAACTCTCTGTATCGGACGTTCGTTGGGACTCCTTGACCTCCTACGGCCTGAGCAAGCTCACACCATCCGTTCTCCGTTGGATTGGCGGCATCAAAACCGATGACCGAGGCATGCTATATCTGGATCGGAACATCCTGATCGCCCTTTGGGAGCGGTACCACCACTTTTATAGCTCCATAGAAGCCGCCTGTCCCCAGCTTCGATCGTTGATCGGTGGATCAGCTGTTCGGAATCCCAGAAGGGACAAATGGCACAAGTTTGAAACAAGGGGAATCCTACCACCAAGAGATGGTCAAAGTTCCTCGGCAGATGTGGAGAAACTAGGCAAAGTCCATTTGAACACCTGTCATGCAAATACCCTGAATTCTGCCCTCATCCCAATGCCGATCCCCATCGCTTTGAGACCAGCCTCTCTCAAGTCCTCTATTGCTTCCACTCCACCTACACCTTCTGCATCCATCTCTGCCTTCCCAGATTTCCATTCCCATTCCGAACCCCTTCCCGAGTCACTCCCCCGTTGGAACTGTGAGCTCTTCTACCTATAGCCACCCGGTCAGCTTTACTGGGGTCCAATTGAGAAGACGGAGGCAGACTTCCCTCAGAAGTTTCAGCCGAAGAAGCTCCTGAAGCTGGAGGGGGAGGACTACGTTAGGCTTGCCGCCATTCACACGGTTACGAAAGAGCGACTCAGAAGGCTGGAGTTGTCGGAGATGGAGGATTGGCGCAAGGAGACAGAGAAGGCCACAGAGAAGGAGACGATGAAGGACTACATGGAGAGAGTGGAAAATCGGGTACACCTGGTGGGCAAGCTTCTTATTGAGCTTCCACTTATCCAGACTAGGTGCAGGATGGAGACGTCTTCAGAGGTTCTGTTATCTTGCATGAGAAGGATGCTATAGTGCTATTGGACCCTTGGCAGAACGCAAACGCTGTATACCAGATCTTCTCTTCAGTGCTTGGAAAGACTTGCAGTGTATGTCGTTACGGAAAGTCCTCTGACTGGTTCTCTTTTTACGGCAAAGTTAAGCCACAGGTCTCTGACAATGGTGTTATATCAGCTGTACTTGTCTCTTCAGTGTAGCGCTACTATACATACTTGGTCTCTTACACACCATACGCCTATTGTCTCTCATATGTACAAGCTTAAATTGCTTAGATTCAGGAATACCAAGCTTGATACACGACCCGCAGGGTGAACCCTTGGCAACCCGTGGTGACCCGTAGGCTCGGGGTGCATTATACATGTAATGAATAGTGGTGGATCAAGTCAGGAGGTATCATATGTGGATGGGGGAACAAGAGCCGCGCGCACTGCGCACACAAAGCCTGCGCAGGATGTAATTGCCACCCCGCACGCACCTCAAAACAGGGTGAAGGCGAAGGCGACAAAGTTCATGTACATGCTTCCTCGTCTCGTACGGCAGTGACAATGACGACACGCGTGAGCGCGAAGCGTACCCGAAAGTCCCCTCACTCCTCGCCGCGGCCGACCTCACGACGGCATGCGGTGCGCGCGCGCCTGGAGGTGCTCACGCTCCTGCTTGTGGACGTCACGGGCCATGGCGGTGGCAGACGCGCGCGCGCTGGAAGCGCGGGCACAGGCCGAGAGCGTAGCAGCCAGGACACGCCGGTTCAGCTCGTTCTGGCATATGTGACTGCCACCCCGAATGAGTTCAGAAGAAGTTGAAGGAGACGGAGCTCGCCAGTGCGCACACCGCTCACACCCGGGGGGGGGGGGGGGGGGGCACAGACGATGCTGCCACTCGCGCCGCCGCCGCCCCGCTGGCGGATCTGGACGCGGACGAGGACGACAAGGCCATCCCAGGGGTAGACACGGCCGTAGAGCGTGTAGGCTCACCAGGCTTGTGCGTATTGCGGAAGGGTCTGTGCGTGCGTGCGTGCGTGCGTGCAGGGGATAACAAGGGAGGAGAGAAGCGGAGAGAGAAGAGGAGACTAGACAACAAAGGAGGAGGGAGGGAGAGGTCACCAAAGCGCGCACTGGGGAGAAAACGGGTCAGCAAAGGAGAGCGGACCAAAGAAGCAACCTCGCCGGTGATGAAGACGTCTTCGACCTCAGAGCACGTCCGCCCGATGTCCATGTCCGAGTCTGTCGGGCTCGCCGCGCGCGAGGGCGCATCCTCCGGCTTGTGTTCTTCGTCGTCCTTGCTCGAGACCACGTTGATGAGCTCTTCAATGTCCGTGTCGAGCCCGTCCTGGACCTGTCGGTGCACACGGTCGATATGTGCCGCTCCGCCTTGCGTGTCGTCCATCTCGTGGTCATGGTAGTGGTCGGAGTGGCGGTTGTCGTCGTTGCCGTCTAGTTCAACGTCGAGGTCCGTGTTTTCGTCTTCATCGCCCTCCACCGCCCTCCTCGCCAAGATCTCCGCCTTCCACGCCTGCACCTCGGCATTCTCCTCCTCCCTGTTCACCACGCACATCTCGCACGTCTTCGGCGCATGCGAGTTCCTCTCCCCTCCCTGCAGGTCTCATACACCCGCTCCGGCGTGCCCCACCTCCACATGTCCACCTTGCGCCTCCCGCCACGCGCGCGCCCCGTGTGCTTGATGGCGTATGCGTCCAGGAAGGAGTGGGCGCGGTACGCGTTCAGCTCGTCCATCGCATCACTTGGCTCCCGGAGCAGGAGGGGCTGGGCGGGGGTACACGGTGGTGCTCACGGAGGTCGAAGAAGAGGGGATGGGCCGTGGCCGAGAATGGCGAGTTCTCTAGCCTCGCGTGCACGGCAAGCGTGTGCCTGTCCGTGGCCCCGTCCTACGCCGTCCAAGCGTGAGTGCCGAAAGAGGCCATGGAAGGCGAGAAACTCACAACCTAGAGCCCGGACAGAGAGCCGAGCGTGAACTTGAGGCCACCGAGGGGCACGCCGTCCACCGCTCCCAGTTGTTCACCTGCCACGCCCTCAGGCTCATCATCCGGTCGCTCCACGCCTGCCCGCTGCCCCTGCGCATGGTCAGGGAGGGCCACACACGCAAGTCCCAGTCGCCATGGTGGAGAGGGAATCACAGAAGTTGTTGTGGGGGTGAGGAAGGGGGGTAACGGAAGCCATACATGGTGTACGACCCGACGTGATTCGCAAGCATAGTGCGGAGGGCGGGCGAGCAGGTAGCGATTTTTTCTGTGTGAGGTATGAAGATCGCGGGGAAGAGCGCAAAGGGGAGGGGAGACGTACCGGGGGTGAAGGATAACCAGTAGAGCCAGGGGGCGAGAACGTCCTCGTGGCTCTCAATAGGCCAGCCAGAGGTGGACTCGCGGTGGGCCCAGAGGTGGTCAAGGACGTCCATTGCGTGTTGTTTTGAAAAGCCGCCCCTCCACATCGCGCATTGAAAGATGTAATGAAAGCTCACCCGTTTATCACACTCCCACCGAGCCGATGATCGCCACATCACCTCCACTGCATCTCCTTAAGTTCAGCAGGATCATTTGAGTGAGGCGGGGTGACAGGAGCAAACAAACAGAGGTGGGGAAGGAGAAGTCACCGACTGGCAAGCTGCGCGCGAGCGCCGACTCCGGCCGTCACACGTGACTGACCCGTGGTCGTAAGCGCTGTACCCGAGCGTACCCTGACCCGTGAGCTCACGGGTCCGGGTTTCACGGGTCTGGGTACAGGTCGACTCAAGATTACCCGGGGGTGACCCGTGGTGATCACTACTTGTGCCCGTCTCTCCTGCGTGCTGCCCCAATCCTCCTCCCTCAGTGTGGCTGCACGCCCTGATCGCATACAAGATGCGGCGGGACGTGTCTCCTGTCCTTCCTTGCCCATCACCAGTGTCCTGCGCTCAAATCGGGCGGCCTTACAGCTGTCCGTACGCGCGCCTCTCTCCTCCTCCTCCTTCACCTCCTCGCCACCCTCAACTTCCCTGTCCCGCTGCTTGCCTGCCTCCCCAACCACCTCAAACCACCGAGGACGTCCCAATGGACATCCTTGGCCCCTCAATTCGCATCCCAGCGCCGCAGTTCAAGACCGTGGCGCTGGTCGTCTCCCAGTAAGTCCCTGGCCCTGTCCTCCTGCACCCTGCCCCACCCTTCCTCCTGCAGCGCGCCTGCAAGCCCCGGCCACGTACAAGATATGGCGGGGGGTGTCTCCCGTCCTTTCTCACCCATCGCCCACACCTTGCGCTCAAAACAGGTGGCCTTACGGCCGTCCACGCGCAGATGCTGCCCACCCTCCTCCTCCTCCTCCTCGCCGCCCTTGACCTTCTCGTCCCACCGTCTGACTGCCTCTCTGACAACCTCAACAAGCCCAGGGTGTTCCAAAGGACGCCCTAGGCCCTTCAATTGTGTTCCCAGTGCCACAGTTTAAGCCAGTGCGCCATTCATCTCCTGGTGAGCACCCCATCCTATATTTTTTACGCCTACCCACGTTCCGCCGTCTCTCTCGACAACATACCAGATGCTGCAGGGCTTATCCCTTAGCCCACACCTTGTACTAGACACCATCTAATAGCTATAAGTCTTACTTTTACAATGCTTAGTAGACATCCCGAGTAATAAAGAGTTCTGTTGATACTATCAGAGTCTGCGCAAGTACGAGCAATAAAAAACAAACCTTCCAGAGCCTGCAGCTTGAAGGCCTTCCTCTGAATCAACTGAACAGCTGCCTCCCCAACCTCACTCCATATCTCTTCCAACCGTGGGACCTCCTCTCGACGCTCGATTCTCCACCACTGAACGACTCTTTCTTCATCGTCATCTGCGTCAAGAACCTCCAGTTCCAGAACCATGAGGGTAGGAATGAACTCTGCCAGCTTCTGCCCTAGCCTCTTGCACGCTGTGAGGGGATCCATGGCAAGGTCTTTAAACAGATCTGGAACGAATCTGATGCTGAGATGAATGAGAGGGATGGGAGAGAACCTCTGGGGCATGGTCGACTACGTATGAAAATAAGAATTAGTCTAAAATGAGTGCAAAATAGTGAAAAACGTACCAAGATGTCTTCGAAACCATTCGCAGGATAATAGAAATGGTCGAAGGTCAACGACCTAATCTTCAACCTGGCAGCTGCATCGAAAGTCTCGCATCTGAGCTCATCTTCGCAGTCGTCCCACATGAGATCGGCAAAGGAAAGGGACGACAAAGACTTGATATGGTGGAAGAGCTGGTGTGGCAACTCTGCAAAGTCGTACATGGTGGCTGAGCGTGAAGGAATATACCACTTCTGAGTGAACTCGAGGAAGTCGATGTGAGAGAAGGAATGATTCTTGTAGTTGTCGATGGGTGGGCTCTCGCCAAAGATCTCCTCGTCACCGTCGAGCATGAAGTCAATCTCAACGGTCTGGAGGTCGTGCCAGGTGTGAGCCCACAAGACCTCAAACGTGGTGTGGCAGTAGACAGAAAGGTGGAGAAGAGAGGAGGTAGGGGGAACCAAGGATCGCTGCCACTGTTGGAGCTTGAGATGTTTGAGGTAGGGGAGGTCTAGAAGAGGGGATGCAATGCTAAGCTCCTGGATGAGATCCCAATGGGCCAACTCCTTCTCTTCATGCTCGTTCTCCTCTTCGTCTCCTGTCAAAGATAAAGAAGCAAGAAGGGGGACTTTGGAGAGTTGAAGGATGAGAGAATGAAGGATGTTCCAGTCCTGGAAGGTGATATCGACTGGAATAGACCCCCTCTGGAGTGACAAGGAGAATGCAGAGAGTTTTGGGAAGTCGGGAAGGAGTGGAGCAACCGTGAGGACATTGTCGATGGTAGCTGAGCTCATGGAGAGTGTGGTCAAAGTGGGTATGAATAGAAGGCAGACAAAAACGTCGATTTGTTCCCCCGTGTTCAGAACCACAAGCTCAGAGAGATTTGGGATCTTGCTGAGGAGCTTATCCGTGAAAACGTGGGTGGAGAGAATATCGGAGTGATAGGGGGTGTGGAGGGACTTGATATAGTGACAGGGAGGGTAGGGAAGGTAAGGATGAGCAGAAGTGAGCCACTTCACCCATTCAATGGTGCCTGTGGGGTTCCAATCACACCAGTCTTGTAGATGGATCTTAGAGAGTGCAGTGGGCATGGCCAGTTGGTATGTGAGCTTGGAGGCCTGAGCTACAGTAGTAGCTGAGGAAGGAGGAAGGAGTTTGAAGATAGAAAGGAGGATGTCTTCAACAAGATGCATGGTGAGATGGGTGTGGGAAATGGGCAATGCAGCAGCTTGAGTGATGGTAAGAGGCAAGGAGGAAGTCTCCATGCAGACGTCAAGCGCGAGGGCAAAGAACAGCTGCAAACAGGCGCACGTATTCACACAGATACACGAAATCGAGTTTGAGGCACACAGAGCACACAAAGAATGAGAAGAGCGCAAAAACAAAGGCGCAGGCAATATATACAAAGCACAGATACAAATAAAAGCAACCAGGGGGCCCCCAACCACATACAGTCCTCCAAATCCACCAAACAAACAAGCTTGAGGCGAGCTTGAAGGCCGGGGAAGGGATGGGAAAGACCTGCCTAATCAGTAACAGCCAGAGCGACATAGACGCCCAGCAGGACGGCCTAGCATAAGTTCCCCAAGGGAACGTAAAAGGGAGTGAAGAAAACAAGTTAGTGAAGTCCAGAAGAGCGCAAAGGCTACAGAACCCCTTTCCTAACTCCTGTCGCGACTCAGGAGAAAGAAAGAGGATCTGCAGCCCCCATAGTGCGCAAGAAAAGCGAAAACCAGCCAAAATGAGCTCACCTGACATAAGCACACTCTCTAGCCAGCAGAGACAGCTCAAGAGCACTGAGATGTGCTGAGAAAGACTGCCAGAAGTGCATATAAGAGACATGGGGAGGAGGGAGGGCAGAATGCAGAAAGAGAAGTGATGACTCACCAGCACACCAGAACCATACCTGACTCCCAGACCCATAATCTCCACCAGAAACCAGCAAGAAAGACACCTATGGTCAAACAGAGCAACTGGAAATGATCAGAGGGCATGGAAAGAGAAAGGGGATAGTAGCAACAGGTGCACAAGAGTACTCACATGATATCCAGGGCAGAGATGACAGAGAAAGGTCATAAAACAGAGAAAGAAGCAAGCCCCCAGAGCCCAAATGACCCCCAGAGCCAATGCCCCCAGAACCCATTGCTCCTCCCAACAGAGCCCCCAAGCTACCGGGTCAAAAGGGACCCACACAAGGGTACAGTTCAAGGTAAGCACCGCACAGATCTCTTCCCTTGCGAGGAAGGCTGACAGTGCTACCCGTGCTTAGAGGGGGGCCCCCCTCTTCACACGTTATTGAACTGCTGCCCGTAGGCATGGGAGGGAGGCATGAAGCCAACCCTCCAAAGCGTCGAAGAAGCAGGGCAGCAGGCTTAAAGCCTCTGCTGGCGCTGAGTCATCAGTTCCCACGGTGCCAAAGGCCACGTGGCTGCACACCAAAGGTTCTCAATGGCAAAAGATATATTCATAAGTTATATAACATAGTACTACAGCTAAGCAATACATACAACTAGGTAACAACACGGGCGAGGGCATGGGCATGGGTGACGACGTGGGTGGGCGACGCGGGCACCAACACGGGTGTCAACAGGGGGCGGGCATGGGCGCAGGCACCAACGCGGGCGTGGGCACGACGCGGGTGAGCGCAGACGATGTGGGTGGGGGCGAGGGTAGACGACGCGGGCGCGGGCGTGGGCGTGGGCGACGACGTGGGCGGGCGACGCGGGCACCGACGACGTGGGCGACGATGGGGGGTGGGCGTGGGGCAAGGACAAAGCCCCCCGGACATGTCTTGCACACATCTGGGGCCCAAGGAGGCTCTGGGGAGGGGGACGGAGCAGTGCGGGGGAGGGAGGGACTGGGCACTTACCGAGGGACAACGGCCTCAGAGGGGCGCAGGTTGTAGGAATTGAGGGCGGATGAGGGCGGAGAGGGGGAGAAGGAGAGGGTGGTGGTAAGGGAGAGGGAGGAGATGGGCACAGGTGTCGTAAAAAGCACCGCAAGCGCCCGCTGACGTGGCCCCATTCGGGCGCTCACTGAGACGCTGAGCACAGCCCAGCGACCTCTGTGGCCACGCCGTTGGGCACCCACCTCTCCATCCCACCTCCCACCTCCCACTTCCCCTTGTCCCGCTCCCTCAACTCCACCCTCATCCCACCCCATCCACCTTCATCCTGCCGACCGCCTGCCCTCGTTCTGCCGCCTGCCTGTCCCTCAACTCCTACAACTCGCGCCCCTCTGAGGCCGTTGTCCCTCGGTAAGTGCCCAGTCCCTCCCTCCCCCGCACTGCTCCGTCCCCCTCCCCAGAGCCTCCTTGGGCCCCAGATGTGTGCAAGACATGTCCGGGGGGCTTTGTCCTTGCCCCACGCCCACCCCCCATCGTCGCCCACGTCGTCGGTGCCCGCGTCGCCCGCCCACGTCGTCGCCCACGCCCACGCCCACGCCCGCGTCGTCCGCCCTCGCCCACGTTGTCAGTGCCCACGCCCACACCCACTGCCAGCACCCATGTTCACCAACTAACACCTTTATCTGTAGTCTGTAGTCTGTACACTAGTGTTACCAATATATTTGCTTGCACCCCATTACACATGTGTGATCTCTATCAACGATGTTGCATTTTTCTTGCTGAATTCATAGCATTCTTGCTTTGTCTGCTTCTCCATATGCAATACAGATCTTTTACAGCTCAATCTGTTGTAAGTACATGTCTTGTACTAAGACCTCTTTCCTGTCTCTTTCCTTTTCCCTTCTGCAGCCTCTTCTCCTTTGCCCTCTCCTCCTTCTCAGCAAACTCTTCATTACACACCTCATACCCACATGAACAAGGCTTGTCAGGGAGTTCATGATGATCTCTGTGGTTCTTGAAGAAGCTGAGTGGCTTGTCATACAGCATGTCGAGCTGTGTCTGCTTCGTGAAGAGCACAATTGAGACTCTTCCCCACTTGAACCAGTCAGGTCGCTTATGCTTGGTAATCTCCTCAGGTGAGAGATTCTGGCCGTTTATCTGTCCAGCGTTCGTCCACTCTGTGACTTTGTGAGCCACTTGGCCTGCCAAAGCAATGATAATGTCTCCAGCACGATATCTGCTCAAATCTGATTAGCAAGATCACATGGCAGAGAGCTCAAGCTTACTGCAAAATGGTGTTTAGGTCAGGAAACTCCATCTCACCCCCGTTGAAGTAACCCATAGGGCAGGTGAGAGTAGGACCTCCATCACCACCGTCCCAGTGTAGCTGAACTTGTAGCTTCCACACGATGACCCGCCCTAGCCAGGGCCCTGGGTCGTGTGGAATCCAGCTCCCAGCGTCAAAGGCAGCCTTGTACTTGACGTACTCTTCGGGAAAGAGAGCCTTGAACAGACCAGCAAAAATGGCAGCCACACGAGCGGTGAGAGTGTAGAACTGCATCATATGCTCAACTCGTTCATGGGCATCAGAGGGCTGTTTCTTGGGTGTCTTGAGGTCCCGCTCGATGCACAGGTCTGAGCTAGGATAAAGCATCTATGGGAAGTCAGCACAATTGAACTCAGACAAGAGAGAAAAAACATACCCCTCGAGGATGACCCTGCATATGCCAGCAGTGGTTGAGATGTGCTGCCCCAGTCCGTTCACCAGGTCGGTCTTCTTCAGGGGAGCTGGCAGGGTAGCGATGGATGTATGAATCAAGTTTGTCCCGAGGCTGATCGTGGCGACGATCTCTATCTGGCACACTAGGTTGAATGTGACCAGATAGATATTGCAGCCCCTTGAGGTACTCGAGCTGCTCATCCACCTAGGAAATAGTTAGAGAAAGAAACAGAAAGAAATTAGAAACTCACACTCAGACCATCAGAAACCACCTCAAGTTCCCCCTGCTTCCGGATGGTGACCAAATCTTGTTTGTACGACCCTCATACAACTCAGAGATAGGCTTTGGAGAGATGTCAGGATTCTCCTACAAGGGTTATAAGTAATGTGTGCAGAACAAAAGAGAGAACTCACAGTGATCAGCCTTCTTCCAAGGTAAGCCAGAATGGTCTTCCCAGAATCATCTGTGATAATGCAAGTGAAAGGGGTGGCAGCTGCAGGCTTCCTCTGGTCCCACTCTTGCTCTTTCTGAGCCTTGACAGCTTTGTTGTGTGTAGGGGTAGGGAGGTCATCCAGAGAGAGAGGATGAAGAACCGTGGTGCATATCTCAGAACCTCCTCGCCCCTTCTCACACCATCCTCAAATGCCTCTTCCACAGCCCTCTCATCATAAATGACCTGGTCAGGGTCAAGAAAATTGGGAGGGATGGGTGCAACATTGTATTCAGAGGGGATGTGCTTGGCAGGATTCAGGTGAATGCAGAAGGAAGAGATATGATACTCACTGGCTTGCTAGGCTCAGAGGGTTTCTTCCTCTTGCCTCTCTGAGCAGGGCCAGGGCCTAGTGGCTTGTCAATGCAGGCAGATTCAAGAGTGTAGATTGCTCACCCATGCCTTATCACCAGTACCAGTCTTTGAGGGAGCTGACTGCCTTCCACACCACTAATAGATCCAAGACTTTTGCTCTTGCGCTTGCGTACCATAGTGACTCAAGAGGATGCAGATGGAAGAGAGAGTGGTCTGGGGAGAGGAGGAGATGATGGTAGGAGATAGAGATGGGTGGAGATAAGGTCCTGCAGCTCTACGCGCGTTTAAGCGCCCGTAAGCGCCCGTAAGAGCGCACTTCTCAAGCAGGCTTACAGAACAGGAAGAAGACCACGAAATCAGACGATATTTGGCATGTGAGTACATCCAGACAATAGAAGTCGAACACGTTTTGTTTCATATCAAACGACCCAAAACTGACAGAGATAGAGCATGTACAACATCTCACTCAGTCAACTTGGCCCAGATTTCGAGAATTTTAACGGGGCGACGAAACTATGCGCAAATGAGCAAGTATATACGCCCAGACCGTTGAAATCCAATGCACTTTGTTTGGTCCAAATCGGACGAAAAATGACTGAGATACAGCGTACATAACACCTCATTCAGTTCACTCGACCAGAAATCGAAACCGTCATACTGGCATATTAGACAGCGCACTTGGGCGCGATAGGTGCGCATTGAAGCACACATTATGACGCAGCAAAGTTGGAGAGATGCGTTCAAGAACTGCCTGAGATATAGCAATGTCAATGAATGCCTGGGCTGAGTCGGTGGGAAATCGAAACAAGTGTACCAGAACATTAGACAGCGCACTTAGGCGTTTTAGATGCGCATTAAAACATACACTAGGACGCACCAGGTTTCGTGAGATGCGTCCAAGAACTGCTTGAGATATAACAACTTCAATATACGTATGGGCAGAGTCGGTCAGATTTCCAGCATGGGAACAACTTGAAGGAACACAGTGAGATTTGGCATCTGGGTGTACATGGAATACCCCATTATAATAGATGAGTATAACACATTCACAATCACCTAAAACGCGCACTGTCTGAGCTCATACCATCAGTTACAACATATGGGATGTATGTTGTATACCCTTCTGCACCCCACCCACTATGTATAAATGAGCACCTCTTTCATAATCGTACCAACCACTATGAGAACTAGATTCACAAATATAATCAGCATTTTAGGGAATTGATCTGATTTACTAGTAGGCAGATGTGGGTGCAATGGGAAGGGGCAGGGCACTACAGCCACTGGGCGTCAAATAACTTGCGGAAGCCTCACTTTTCTGAAATCAGCCCTTCAAAAATCGAATCAATGTCTATAAATCTTGATTATATTGATAGTAGTAGTCCACATAGAGTCTGACTGAAGCCCACAAAGAGCGCCCATCTCAGTCTAGTTGAATAGGTATAGACACTAACAGGCACTACAAAGTGTAGCAAGGAGTGAAGCGCTGGGCCCAGGTGGCAGTGCAAACCCAGCGCTAGTAGAACCCTACAGAGGGACCCTAACCCAGAGCTAGGGTGATGGGAGTAAGTAGCAAACCTATGCGTGGGAAGTGGCTGTGCTAGTGAAGAGTAATAGGAGTCTGAAAATTTATTCCCACGGGTCGCACTAAGGGTGTCGCGCGTCGCAGCCAGAGCCCACCCCATAAAGAACGATTCATTCGTACCTCATTAATCGTAACGCAATATGGACAAGCGTCACCCACCCCCGCCGAAGCCGAACACAACAGAGCCGCCTGGGAGGAAGAGGAATACCGGACACGTGCCGTCGCAGGAGGATGGATGGGTATGGAGAGCTCGGCCGTGGAATGGGGGTCACCCGTGGAAGAAGAAGACAACGACGAGGAACCTACCACTCCCACGCCAGGTCTTACCTTGTCCGACATGATCGCCGCCCTTGGACCTCGCGGATCCCAGACCCCACCTCCTCGCCCTTCCACCCCGACGCCATCCACACCATCCCTGGACGTACGAACGATCCACCACTACGCAGACGATGAGGTACATTACGAGCTTGTCGTCCCGGCCCAGGCCCCACCCCCGTATGACGACAACGACGACATGGGCAACGACGCGGATTCGGAAGGAGGAGAAGCCTCCTCCAGCGACCACGAGGATGAGAACAACGCCCCGCGTATGGAGCTCCTACGCGCCTACAACCCCGTGGCCCGGCCGTTTCGCCTCGAGGGAGCTACCAGTCGCTACGCCCTCCGCGGCTATCTCTCCGCCAACCACTTCATCGGGGTGTACATCCTCGATTGGCCAGTCCAGTATTCGCCCGAGAACATCGAGTTGAGGATCGCCACAGCTCTCCCCTACGTGGCCCCAGGCATTCGCCTCAGCCTCGAGCTCCATGTCCTCAACATCGTGGCGCAATGGTGCAACGCCCACTGCGAAGAAGTCGTCGACGACCATGTAATCGACGCGGGACACTGGCGACGATTCCTCACGTACTACAGCCAGTACCGACGTGCGGGTATCCCCCTACATGGTGAACCCGAAATGTCGCTCGAAGGGACGGTCCACGAAGTGATCGTCAACCTGATCGTACGACTTCGCCAGATCGGGTACCGTCCTCGTGAAGACCCCGACCTTGATGCCGACGACATCTTCGGTAACTAAGGGTTGGGACAACCCTCACGGGAGGGGGAGCTGATGTTACGGACACCACACGTACGCTTACCCTTTTTCCTTTCCCCTCGTCATCTCCGTCATGGACTATGCCTCGCGCCCTCAGGGGCTACTGTAATACCACCCCTATCCCCGCCTCATGCTGCTGCGCAGCCTCGCCTCGGACATGCACATACCTCATGGCAACCTCGCGGTATCACACCCCCTTACACGCAGTTACCATGACTCGTACGGACTCGTTGTACATGCACACTTACCTCACCTCTCGCGCACCGTGGCCTCAAGGCCTTGTACTTATAAGAGGGACGACGCAGCATAGCGCTCCCCATCTTTCAACCTCTTGTCTAGCTACGTCCCTCTGGCCTAGTGCTAATACATCTCTCTTGCTTGCCTTCTACCTCGCTCGCTCGCCGGTTCACTCGATAGTGCACCGTGCTCACTCGCGTCGGCATCAAGAGATTTCTCACAGACATAACCACTCGGCGTCTAGGCCTCGTTCCCGACGGAACTCGGACTTCGACGTAACAGGATTGAAGATGAACTTACAGGAGTGAACACAGCCGCTATGATGCGCAAGTGGCACTCGTTTTTTTACGGGTTCTACGAGCCCATTCCCAAGATCGCATACGGCAAGGGTCGGCGTCGTTGCCACGTATTCACGTGCGCTTCCCCAAGCTGCAAGTGGCAGGGTCGTCGCTACCTCGACAAGAGCGACGCAACCTCAACCGGGATCCTTCAGAAGCACGCCATCCGGTGCTGGGGCCAGGAGGCTGTCGACAGCGCACGCGAGGCCAACATGACTGCAGATGAGGTCCGGAAGATCGTCGTCAGCAAGAGGTTGAGTAGCGACATCAAGACGTACTTCACCCGCAAGGGGAAAGGCAGCGTCATCTTCTTGAACCGCCACCTCACGCAGGCAGAGACTCGGTGGGTGGCTGTTCGTGTTCGTCGCCTTGAACCATGACTGACAATGTGACGCGCCAGTGCGGAGTTTGTCCGATGGGTTGCCGAGTCATCGCGCCCGCTGTCCATCGTCAAGGACGAGCATTTCCAGATCTTGATGAAGACTGGACGCCCGAACTTCAAGATTCCTTCACCAAGCACTCTGGCTCGCGATACGCAGATGTTGTTCACGCGCTCTCGAGAGCGTATCGGCCGTCTCCTGAGGGTATGTGTAAGAATGTTATGCCAACCAATTGCGGCTGTACTCACCCACTCAACGCAGGACTATGATGGGCATATCAACATCGCTACGGATTGTTGGACCTCTCCCAACCACCGTGCCTTCACGGCGGTTACAGTCCACTTCCTGCACAACGATGAGCCCATCAGCATGCTACTCGACATTGTCGAGGTTCCGAAGGTACGTACATCGCGTGATCAACAGTTATCTGCATACTGATATCCTGAATATACTCTTGCAGTCTCATACTGGCCTGAACCTCGTACGCGAGATTGCAATCATCCTGACCGAGCTCGAGCTTGATGACAAGGTTTGAGTCTGTCTCATATGCTCGATAATGGCTTCTGACTTTACCTTGTTGACAGGTGTTGGCCGTGACATGCGACAATGCGTCCGCCAATGACGCGATGGTCGAGCACCTCGAGACCGAGCTCAACGGCTTCTCGCGTGGTGGAGGTCACGTCCGCTGCTTTGGTCACATCATTCAGCTTGTGAGCAAGGCGCTGATGAAGCATTTCGACGCACCAAAGAAGGACGACAAGCGGAAGGGTGACGACACGGAGCTTGACGACCTTGTCGACGATGACAATGACGACGAGCCGCTCAACAGCCTTGATGACTTGGCCGAGGACACGGACGAGGGCGCTGAGGACGACTTGCCTGGACTTGTCGATATTTCTGATGAAGACGAGTGGGTGGAGGAGGCGACTGCGATGAACGAGGAGCAGCTCGCCGAGTTCTACGCTGCTGTTCGCCCGGTCCGCGTTGTTCTCACTAAGGCTAGTCATTAAGCCATATGTATATGCTACATGAACCAATACTCACCTCGTTATCATCTGCTAGCTTCGTTCCCTGGCCTCGACGGTCAACAAGTCCACCACCATCCTCCTGCCCACGTGGAAGCAGCACCTCGCTGATCTGAACTTGCCCGAGCGCATGCTTCGTCAAGACGTTCGCACCCGCTGGCAGTCGACAAACGACATGGTGGTGAATGCAGTGGGGATGAAGCGTGCGATCCGGTCGTTTTGCGCAGATGGCGACCTTGGTGTCGACCTTGACAAGTTCCGGATGAATGCGCGGGGAACGGCAGATTGCAGAGCAGCTGGTCGACGTTCTGAAGGTGCGTGCTGAGCTTCAACTTGCTGACAACGATTACTAACTCCGCTCAAATACATGTCCTCGGGCCTACTATCCGGTGACTCACGGTCGTTGTCATCCTCCTGCCCTTTCCTCCGACCTTGCGCCCATTTCTCTCCGCGATCGCGACCCTTGCATTGACGCATCCCCACTCGACAACCTTCACGTTGATGTAGGTCTTCAAGGACGCCACCAAATTCTTTTCCCGTGCACCTGTGGTCACCACGGCTGTATTACAATGCCCCAGGTACATGGGAATAAGCTTTTGCTATTCCTGAGGGCGTTGTTATTGTAATAAACGTGGTGAGGTCTTTAACAATAACAACGCAAGGGGGTCTTGTAATAACTGGTGCTGAGGCTGTTAAAAGCAACGTGGGGTTGTTAAAACTGGCGTAGGGTTGTTAAAACCGACGTGGGGCTGTCAAAAAGGGTGCTGGGTTGTTAAAACCGACGTGGGGCTGTCAAAAAAGATGCTGAGTTGTTAAAAGTGACGTGGAGATATTACAGAATGTGCCAGCCTGTAATAACTGACGTAGAAGTATTACAGAACATGCTAGGCTGTAATAACTAACACCAGGGTCCCACTGGGACCTACCTAGCTATAAATAGCCTGGTTCAGGTACTGCTACAGATGGGCATTCTGGCAGGTATAGTGGGCTGGAATTGGGGATAAACGGTTAGCTAGAGATGAGAATGGCTAAAAGGATACGTTTGGGCTGGTATAAGCAGCTGGAATGGGGAGCAGTAGCTAGTATTTACCAGTAAATGGGCAGCCTGGGGTGCAGCACAGGGTGGGGAAATCGTCAGGCACTAGTTACTTATCAAAAGAGGCATCTAATAGCTTTCTAACAAATCCAAGATCATGTTGATTGGAGCAGTATTGGTGGAGATACAGATGTACCCCCGTTTTGGCCGATAGGAGCATCTGCTAGAATCAGAACTGGTGGATGGAATCCCCTGGTTCTTGTTGTATACCGTGTGGATTGCCTTCCAATGAGTGGGGTCGAAATCCGATCGGAGAAAAACCCCTTCATTACGGAATAGATTGCCGATTACGCTTCAGCCACAGCGCTTTTGATCTCTCAATAGCCACTTCCCATATGCTCCGATAAGTGTTCTTTTTTTTGCAGTCTTTTCCTCTACTCTACGGAAAAGTGTTCTAGGTGTCATTTTAACAAGAACAGCCCTCTGTACCTTCCTGTGCAGCTGTGCACACTTGCAGACCTTTGCCTCACCCATCCATAACCGCTCCATTTATCAATCTGGTTCTTGTTGTATTGTTTGACCATTGTGGTATACTTTATGTTCTACAGCCATGCCCCTCACTCTACACAAATGTGAAATAGGGCACACACACACATATACCTATGGCAATAACACATGGAACATGTTTCAGGATGATATTGAATATGACTTAGCACCTCTGCCACATGTGGGGGCAAGTGTACCATTCCTTGCAGGGTTGAGTGGGTGTTATGTGAAGAGGTTTCATCCCACACTTTGTAGCCCAGTGGTGCATTCCGGGCTCCAATGGAACATCTTCACCAATTCTGGGCCGATTCACATGGTTCTTTCTGCATCTTGTAGCTGTGTTCGAGGCGAGTTCTGATCGACTTCACAAGAGACTATCAGAGTATCACATATAATTGGATTGGGGGAGCAAGTGGGGGGACAGATAGGGGCATTACACTATCAAACATGTTCTGATAAGTATGATCCTTACATATCTTAGGGCCCTTGAGCAGTGCCAATTCGACACAGAAGACACCATGGTGATATAATGGGTAGTTATGGATGGGTGAGGCAAAGGTCTGCAAGTGTGCACAGCTGCACAGGAAGGTACAGAGGGCTGTTCTTGTTAAAATGACACCTAGAACACTTTTCCGTAGAGTAGAGGAAAAGACTGCAAAAAAAAGAACACTTATCGGAGCATATGGGAAGTGGCTATTGAGAGATCAAAAGCGCTGTGGCTGAAGCGTAATCAGCAATCTATTCCGTAATGAAGGGGTTTTTCTCCGATCGGATTTCGACCCCACTCATTGGAAGGCAATCCACACGGTATACAACAAGAACCAGGGGATTCCATCCACCAGTTCTGATTCTAGCAGATGCTCCTATCGGCCAAAACGGGGGTACATCTGTATCTCCACCAATACTGCTCCAATCAACATGATCTTGGATTTGTTAGAAAGCTATTAGATGCCTCTTTTGATAAGTAACTAGTGCCTGACGATTTCCCCACCCTGTGCTGCACCCCAGGCTGCCCATTTACTGGTAAATACTAGCTACTGCTCCCCATTCCAGCTGCTTATACCAGCCCAAACGTATCCTTTTAGCCATTCTCATCTCTAGCTAACCGTTTATCCCCAATTCCAGCCCACTATACCTGCCAGAATGCCCATCTGTAGCAGTACCTGAACCAGGCTATTTATAGCTAGGTAGGTCCCAGTGGGACCCTGGTGTTAGTTATTACAGCCTAGCATGTTCTGTAATACTTCTACGTCAGTTATTACAGGCTGGCACATTCTGTAATATCTCCACGTCACTTTTAACAACTCAGCATCTTTTTTGACAGCCCCACGTCGGTTTTAACAACCCTACATCAGTTTTAACAGCCCTGCACCCTTTTTTACAGCCCCACGTCGATTTTTACAACCCTGCACCCTTTTTAACAACCCCACGTCAATTTTAACAGCCCTGTATCCTTTTTTTACAACCCTACGTCAGTTTTAACAACCCAGCACCCTTTTTGACAGCCCCACGTCGGTTTTAACAACCCTACGCCAGTTTTAACAACCCCACGTTGCTTTTAACAGCCTCAGCACCAGTTATTACAAGACCCCCTTGCGTTGTTATTGTTAAAGACCTCACCACGTTTATTACAATAACAACGCCCTCAGGAATAGCAAAAGCTTATTCCCATGTACCTGGGGCATTGTAATACAGCCGTGGTGACCACAGGTGTCCCGTGGTTCGCCCAACCTTGCGGCAGTCATCCCCGCAATGGACGTCTTTGACCGGGAGCTTACAATGAAGCAGCTCGCCGCCAGCCGTGACTCTCACAGCGACCTCTACGATCCGGCAATTCGTCAAGCCCATCGATTTGCTCAACAGGTTCTGAATAAGTACTATGCGCTCACAGACTCATCCGAGGCGTACCGTATCGCCATGGGTGAGTAGTCCTCTCTCTCCTTAGTTATCCTGTACGATCTTGATCACTTATATTCTATTTGAACAGTCCTTCATCCTCGCTACAAGATGGAGTACTTCAAGTCCGAGCACTGGCCGGACAACTGGATCGAGACTGCGAAGACCGTTGTCCGTGACCGGTACAACGCTGTGTACAAGCATCAGGACCCCATCAATGCTGAACACGACCACGTCGGCGACGGTGGCTCAAGCGAGCAGGCGGAGGACGTGGTGGCTATGGACGTAGTGAGTCTCTTTATCTAATTCATTGTGTTGAAGTTCGTTTCGTGATTTCTTACCTGTCGCTCTTGCAGGATGAACGTCCGAAGAACATGTTTGATGGCCTTCAGTTCTTGGCAGCTAGCGGCCCAATTCATGGTGACGATGACGAGCTCGACCGCTATCTCGCCACTCCTCTCGTGCATGTTACCGATGCTCTCTCGTGGTGGCGTGAGCACGAGAAGACTTACCCGCACTTGGCTCGTATGGCCAAGGACTATTTGACCATCCCCGGTACGTGATATCCTTCTGTCGTGGAACGGACTCTGGACTCGCCCTATGTATTATTTTTCGTCTTTTCTTTGCCTTTTCTCTGCCTGCTACTATATTGGAAGGTTGTTCCCGCGCTTAAGCGCCCGTATCGCGGACTCTCTTAGCACTTGCACTTCGTGTCCTAGCCCTCATCTCGACCTCTTGGTCTTTGTGGGCTAGGTGAGTATCTCGATTGCCTGTATGTATATAGAGCTATGTTAACTTGGTCTTTGTGGGCTAGACATCCCTCGTGTGACTCTAGTCTGCGTCTGCTTTGCGCCTAGTGCCGGCAACGCCTCTGCACCACTACATCAAGGTCATCCAACCTCCATCTACACCCATCCACCCCTCCCTCTCCTCCGATTGGCGTTCGCGGCCCGCTCCCGCGTCACCTTCCGCTGCACGCACGAATACCATATCTGATGTGTCCTGCTGAGCAGCGACCTCGGTGGACGTTGAGCGCGTCTTCAGCCGTGGCCGCTTGCTTCTCCCCTATATTCGCAACAGGCTGTCTGCGCACACTACTCGTGCACTTCTGTGCTTGGGTGCCTGGTCGCGGCTCGACCTCGTGCACTCGGAGGATGTTCTGGAGATGACGCGCTCTTGAAGCCGTCCACTGAGCCGTCCACTAGGTTATGTAAACTTACTTCTTTCTTATGCTAGGCAATACACAAAGTCGTTCTCGATGTGTACCGTTATATCGAGTGGCGCCTCATGGTGAGCGCGCAGCGTGCAGCGCCCACACCACGCCGGGGACGAGGCCTTTCGTGGGTCGGAGCTCGCCAGGGATGGGTGCGGAGCCAGGGAACGTGCAGTGGTCATGGAGGAAGTCGATCTGCTTTCTCGATGGGCCTTGGCCTTCTCGTTCTCGTTCTCTCCAGGCGGCGCGTGGCAGTACTAGCGGCGCACGTACGTGTCGCGCATGTGATCCTGCTGCCCAGGCTCGAGCTCGAGCTCGGACTCGCACGCCGAGGCGCAGCGCGCGGTCGGGCCCCTCTGTGTACGTGTCGCGCATGCAGTCCTGCTGCCCGGGCTCGAGCTCGAGCTTGGACACGCCGAGGCGTGGCAGCGCGCGGTCCGACCCCTCTGTGTGCCAGTCTAACGGCACTGTCCCGTGGGTTACCCGCAACGGGTCTTCACCCGCGTCATACCCGCACATGTCTTTGAACACCCGCAGCAGCTTAGACACCCGTGCCCCATGGGTGCGGGACTTTGCGGGTTCGGGTACGGGTGAGCTCACTGACACCCACGGGAGCACCCGTGGTGATCACTAACAGTGACATCAAAGTACCATGGGAATGAGCAAATACATGAAAGCATACCTACCTAACACCCACAGACACCTAAAGCTTACCAGAGAGTTGAAAAGAATGCTGGATCCATCCCACACAGAACTCGGTCTGTGCTCCAACGACCAGGCCACTCAAAATGGCAATGTTGCAGGCATCCCAGGCTCAAGACCACTGCTCTAAATTGGTGCACCAAGTAGGCATGGTACAGGAGCACAGGGACTGTGAGGGGGCATCCTCCCACTCATAAGCACTGACTTTGGCCAAAAGCCAGGCAACAGAAGTGAAGGGTGGATGAGAGTCCCCCAAGAGAGGAGGAGGAATGGCAGCAGCGATGAGAGTGCACTGCTGGCGCTTATGTAACAGCTTTCTCACACACCTTATTAGGTAACTGTATCTAGAGACATTGCTTGCACTCCCTATCATTCATTTCTTGTCCGTTTCTTATGATTCAAGCTGTTCCAAGTACATCTCATAAGTGGCTTTCCAATGGTATATATTACATAAGCATATTCCCAGTCCCAGTGCTATAACCCAGTCAACACTGCCAAGTGGTAGTTGCTATAGTATAGCAGCTGCAATGCACAATACACAACACAACATATACTGTCTTGTAGCCCTTCAAAGAGGTGTTCTAATGCACCTACACATATAGTGATTGGTTAAGAAACCAGCTTATAACTAGCCATACACCGTCCATACAGTGTTCTACTAGTGTTACTCAACCTATTGTACAACATCTGCTTCCCGTATCACGTGACATGCACCATCGGATCCGCCTTATTAATGTACATCTAACGAATCTCTAATCATCCCAAACAGACACCATCTGAGCTTATAACAGCAGTTACAACATATGAGCTATATGTTGTAGACCCTATTAAACCCCACCCACTATGTATAAATGAGCACCTCTTTCATAATCGTATCAACCACTATGAGGACTAGGTTCACAAATATAATCAGCATTTTAGAGAATTGATCTGATTTACTAGTAGGCAGATGTGGGTGTAGTAGGCAGGGGCAGGGGGCTACAGCCACTGGGCGTCAAATAACTTGCGGAAGCCTCACTTTTCTGAAAGCAGCCCTTCAAAAATTGAATCAATTCCGATAAATCTTGAGTATATTCATAGTAGTAGTCCAGATAGAATCTGACTGAAGCCCCTAAAGAGCACCCATCTCAGTCTAGTTGAATAGGTGTAGACACTAATAGGCACTACAAAGTGTAGAAAGGAGTGAAGCCCTGGTCCCAGGTAGCAGTGCAAACCCAGCGCTAGTGGAACCCTACAGGGGGACCCTAACCCAGAGCTAGGGTGATGGGAGTAAGTAGAAAACCTATGCGTGGGAAGTGGCTGTGCTAGTGAAAAGTAACAAAAATCCCAGAGATTAGCATTTTCTGTGTGTCACGCGTCGCAGTCTGAGCCCACCCTATAAAGAACGATTCATTTGTACCTCATTGATCGTAACAGGCCTGCAAAGGCCTGTAATACTATGTATGTGTCATGTTGTTATTACAGCTGCATCCCCTGGCTGTCAAAAGTGAAATATATAATCACAGCACTTCTTCTATGCTGTTATAACCAACATATCTAATGACAGGACACCCTCTGGGCTGTTAAAAGCGAAATCTCTAATAACAGAACACCCTCTGGGTTGTTATAGGCATATATCTAATGACAGCACACACCTTGGGCTGTCAAAAGCGAAAATTTTAATGACAGAGCCTCCCCTGGGCTGTTAAAAATGCAATTCTTAATGACAGAAACTCCTCTAGGCTGTTAAAAGTGATGTGGAGTTATTACAGAGCCCTTTTGGGCTGTTAAAAGTGATGTTTGTAATGACAGAACCTCCCCTAGGCTGTAATAACTGATGCCAGGGACCCACTGGGACCTACCTAGCTATAAATAGCCAGGTGCAGGTAGTGCTACAGGTGGGCATTCTGGTTGGTATAATGGGCTGGAATTGGGGTAAATAGGTAGCTGCAGGTAAATATAGCTGGAATGGTGCATTTGGGCTGGTCTGGGCAGCTGGAATGGGGGGCAATAGCTGGTATTTACCTGTAAATGGCCAGCCTGGGGCACAGCACAGGGCTGGAATATCATCAGGCACTAGGTATCAATCAAAAGGGGCATCAAACAGCTTTCTAGAGAACCCAAGAGCATGCTGATCGGAGCAGCATTGGTGGAGATATGGATGCACCCCTGTTTTGGTCGATGGGGCATTGGCTAGCATTGGGAATTGTGGATGGAATCCCTTGGTTCTTGTTTTATAATGTGTGGATAGCCTTCCAATGAGTGGGATTGAAGTCCGATCGGAGAACCACCATCTGGTTCTGGATTAGATTGCTGTTTACCCTTCAGCCACAGCACTTTTGATCCCCCAATAGCCACCCCCCATATCCTCCGATAAGCGTTCGGGTTTTTGCAGCCTTCTCTTCTACCCTATTAGAAATGGATCTAGGTATCATTTTGATGTGAACCACTATATATAGCTCCCTGCGCAGCTGTGTGCATTTCCACCCCCTAGTTGCACCCCTTCATGCCGTTATTGCTTCACCAGGGTTTTCTACAATGAAAATGTGGTGGACCTCAGCATAATGGACTTCCCAGGTACCTGGGGGATTGTATTACATATGTGGTGACCACAGTTGGCACGCAGGTGTTGAGGGCGATACAGCTGCAACATAGGCAATGGGGACAATAAGCTCGTGCAGAGTGCGACGCAAAGCGGAAAGGTGCTCACCAATGCCATGCTGCTCGTCCCCGAGCTGGACAAGCTCATACTGCGAGCATATTGGGGGAAGAATGGGAAAGAGGGAAATTTTTGAGAGAGAACAAGTGTACTCACAATAGTGTCCGTAGTGCAGCCGCACCTCGCCCCGATAACGAGTTGAGGGAGCTCGTTCTCTTGCTCGAGCTTGCGGATGCATATCAGCGGCACGGCTCGGGGGTGACATGGGTGACCTAGGGGACATAGGAGAGGCGAGCGAGATGACTGCGCAGATGAGATTGGCAAGGTCAAAGGCAGAAAGGCGGAGAGGATGGCAATGAGGGCGAGCAGGGGAGAATGGGTGGAACAAGAACGATGCGCTGGCATCGGAGGTGCAGCTCCACTTTGGGGATGTGTGGGAATGAATGTGCATCGTGTGGACTGCGCGCTTGACACTGCCAGCACCGCGTTCATCGTCCCCGCCATCTGCGTCACCACCTTCCAGCCACTCTGTGCGGACCTCCCCTACGTCAACCGCACCAGCCTCTCACCCTCCAAGCATCCCTTCGGATTCTTCACAAACTATGTAGTTCCTTCCATGGTGAGTGCTTGAGTCCCTCACCCTTCCCTGCATACCCTCTCCCAGCTTTCAAAGCCCCCACCAGTTCCTGCTGTGCTGGTAGAGTCTTCAATGACCTCTGCGCGAAGCTGCAGATTTGGACTCAATCTCATATACATCTCTGTGCTTGAACACCGATGCCGCACATCCAGCACAGAACACGAGCGTTGCTAGCAGCTCCGCAGCCAGTACGTCAAGTTCAACCTCGCCTATACTTCCTCACTCACGTCCCACCCACGTCGCCACCCGCATCGCGTCCACCTCCCCCGCATTGCCTAAGTCCGCATCACCCACCTCTCCTGCGTCACCCACCTCTCCCATGTCGTGCCTACCTCACGTTGCCCACGTCGTGGCCATCTTGTCCCCACATTGTCTGCGTTGCCCATCTCGCCCGCATCATCCCCATCACCCACGTCACCGCCGTGTTGTCATCATCCCGTTCCCACCTCGCCCGCCTCAGCCATCTCACCTGGATTGTGTTGTGGAACGGACTCTGGACTCGCCCTATGTATTATTTTTCGCCTTTTTCTCGCCTTTTCCCTGCCTTTTACTATATTGGAAGGTTATTCCCGCGCTTAAGCGCCCGTATCGCGGACTCTCTTAGCACTTGCACTTCGTGTCCTAGCCCTCATCTCGACCTCTTGGTCTTTGTGGGCTAGGTGAGTATCTCAATTGCCTGTATGCCTGTAGAGCTATGTTAACTTGGTCTTTGTGGGCTAGACATCCCTTGTGTGACTCTAGTTTGCGTCTGCTTTGCGCCTAGTGCCGGCGACGCCTCTGCACCACTACATCGAGGTTATCCAACCTCCATCTCTACCCATCCACCTCTCCCTCTCCTCCGATTGGCGTTCGCGGCCCGCTCCCGCGTCAGATTGCTCGTGTCACCGGATTCTTCACCCACGTCGCCACCTCACCCTTGTCTCATGTGTCCGTCTCGCCCCCGCGTTGCCCCTCACACCATGCCCACCTCGCCCTCGTCCATGTCACTGCTCACGTCGCCCGCGTCTCGCCCCCGCATCACCCATGTCTCCCACGTCACTATCTCACTCACGTCGCCTATATCACCCATCTCCTCCACACATCCCCCACCTCATCCTCTTCTTGCCCCCACCTTGCCATGTCCCCTTCCTCGCCCGCCCCTGCAACTCCCTCCTCACCCACCCTGTGTCACCTACGTTACCCTCATGGCCCGGGTCGGCGGCCACTTCGGATGAGAGCCCGTTATGGAAGATGTAGCCAGACATGCATTTGTCTATTGTAGTTAGAGACCAATATATTTCATCTTCTCGGGCTTCTATATTGTCATGAATCATCGATAAAGTAGTCACCTTAGTGATAATAAGCTTTTCAGTGATCTAATGAGAGACATCTTAGTGCAAAGAAGATCTGTTTTCCATGAGAGCACTCATTTGCATGAAATTAGATCTACCAGAGAGCAAATTAGGCAAATTAGAGCTAATTAGCAAGTGAGGGTTTTCCTGATGGATCAACCCAAGCCTGTTGATCGCGAGCCCGGTCCTGAGTCGCAGTGCGGTCGTCCTCGTCGGCGGGCCTCCCGAGGCGCTGGACAGCGTGGACGTAGCACAACCTGGCGTGGCCTCAGGTGAGGCCAACACTTCCGCTACTGAAGGTGTTGCGGTCGCTGGTAGCGCATTTGTGTCTGCAGATAAGCGCACCAGTGTCTTCGATGACCTGACCATTAGCCCCATCACAGACTACTCTGACGTTTAGATGATTTGCTTACCATTCTCAAGCTTCCTGTCTCCTTCTCATGTTCGCTCTTGATAGCCGTCGTAGTAGACTATCGCTCGACAATGCTTACGATAGTCGGAGGGCGTATGAGACGTGCGCTCTTCCGGATCGGCTAGATCAGTCCCCGTGCGCGTTGGCGCCAGTCACCTGATTGCCACGACTCCCCTCTCTCATCTGTCTCCTTGTCTTGGTCCCACTGTATCCTCCATGTCTCCCCTCGTATCATTGACTCGGACTATCCTACATATATATAGTAGTACAGGTGTAGGGTGAAAGCCCCAGTGTTCCAAAGATAACAGACCTTATCCCTGTCTTCTCCTTCATGACCTCTTCCCCCGTGTCACACCACCGGCCCGCTTGGACCGCGAGCGTGACACAGGGTGCAGGGTAGTGATCACCACGGGTCACCCCCGGGTAATCTTGAGTCGACCCGTACCCGGACCTGCAAAACCTGGACCCGTGAGCCCACGGGTCAGGGTACGTGCGGGTAGAGCGCTTGTGGCCACGGGTCAGTCACGTGCAATGGCCGAAGTTGCTCGTGCGCACACCTTGCCAGTCGGGACTCACCGTGACTTCTCCCCCCCCCCATTCCTTTGCTCCTTCACCCTGCCTCACTCAAGTGATCTTGGAAAGTCTAAGGAGACGTGGCAGCAGAGGCGGTGCGGCAACCATCAGCTCAGCGGGAGTGCGATAAACAGGTGCACTTTCATTTCATCTTTCAGTGCATGATGTGGAGGGGTGGCTTTTCAACACAACATGCGATGGACGTCCTTGACCGCCCCACCGCAAGTCCAACTCTGGCTGGTGGCTGGCCTGTCAAGAGCTGCGAGAACGTTGTTGTCTGGCTCCACTAGTTCGCCCTCACCCCAGTACGTCCCCCCATCCCCTTCGCACTCTCCCCCACGATCGTCATCCCTCGCGCAAAAAAAAATTGCTACCCGCCCTCCTGCCCTCCTGCCCTCCCGCCCTCCGCGCTACGCTTGCGAAGCACGTCTGGCGGTACGCCATGCACAGCTCCCACTACCCCCCTTCCTCGCCCCCAACAACAACTTCCGTGCTTCCTCTCCTCCATGGCAACTGGGATTTGCACGCGGCCCTCCACGACCATGTACAGGGGTGGCGGGAGGAGAACGGGCAGGCATGGAGCGAGTGGCTGATGAGCCTGAGCGCGCAACAGGTGCACAACTGGGAGCAGTGGACAACGTGCCTCAACCTCTGGGCCCTCGGCGCGCCCCTCGGCGGCCTCAAGTTCACGCCCGGCTCACTGTCCGGGCTCTAGGTTATGAGTTTCTCGTCTTCCTTGGCCTTATAAACCCCACTTCACTCCTTCCTCATCATCCCCGCTCATGCGCACGCACAGAATACCTCACGCGATATGCGCGCATATGCACTCTACGGACACATCCGCCCCTCGCATATGCACTCTACGGACACATCCGCCCCTCGCATGGCCTCGTCATTGTCGTCGTCCACATCCAGACCCCGCCCAGCGGGTGGCTGCAGCGGTCGAGTGGCAGCGTCCTCCCCACTGTCTATTGCGGGTGCATTGTCGGCGGGCGCACACTCATCAGCGCCTGGCGACACACAACCACGACCATACACACGGTCCCGCTCGAGGGCATGTTTCTCGTCTCTAAAGTTGACCGCCTGTAGACAGCCAACGAGCCAGGGGTGTGTAGTACTGCGGCGGCGACAGCAGCGAGCTGGAGAGGCCACAGGGAAGGGCGAGGTGTGTGGGTCCTCGAGGCTTCACGTCGTGCACCGTTCATCGAGCGTGGCGCTCTCAATACGGTCTGCGAGAGGGCTGGGGGATGGACGGGGGACGGACGGGGGACGAACGGGGGATGAACAACTTGAGGGGCCCACCCGTACGTGCACATTGGTGTGAGTGCTTGTCTGCGGCCCTGTGAGCGGAGTGCACATGGGTGAGCTCGAGCGTTCCCTTCGCGTTTTCGTGAGGTGCATGCGAGACGGCGATTTCATACAACAGAACGAGCTGCGCCGGTGCCACCTCCTGGCCACTGCACTCTTGGCCTGTACCCGCACTTCCAGAGCACGCGCGTCCGCCATCACCGTGACATCCGCAAGCAGGAGTGCGAGCACCTCCAGGCGCATGGATGCTGCATGACCTTTCGGGGTCGGCCGTCACGAGGAGCGAGGGGACTTTCGGGTCCACATTGCGCTCACGCTTCTCGAGACAGCACGATGAGCTCTGTCGCCCGCACCTTCACCTTGTTTTGAGGTGCGCGTGGGGCGGCGACCACACCCCATGCGGGCTTCATGCGCGCATTGCATGTGGTTCTTGTTCCTCCATATTCTGACTTCATTGAATACTATCTATAATGCCCTCTGAGCTTACGGGTCATCACGGGTCAGTGGGGGTTCACCATCAGCAAAAAAGTGTTTTAATTGGATTGGCTTAGAAGTGCATAAAATGTCCAGAATGTTATAGAATGTTTGGACGTTCAATATATAGCTGTTCTGGAGGGTTGCAAGCCATTGCAATGTCCGGCCTGAATCATTGGAATCCATTCCAATGTTCAACGTTCAGGGCTCCATGCCGTCCTGGTACCTTCAACCATCCGACTCTGTGTTCACACAACGGATATGAAGAAGAAAACAATTTGCATTGACTAAAGTGACTACTACATGCAGAGACGTCACGACGTGTACATGTGCAAATACAAAACATGCATGAAGCCGCCATACAGGAAGTCGGTGATCTCCTTGGGCAGGATCACATGGTCGCTGTAGGCACAGAGGAGTCAGAACGAAAACACACCGGAGGGACGGGCAATGCGGCGTGGTGCATGAATTGAGAGGGCACCACAGCGGACTCACCTGTTCCTGCATCACCATCCTCACCCAGCACGCTCGCCTCTGCCACTTTGCGCGTGTCTTCCTCCCGTGAGATCGGGTACACGTGCCCAAAGTCGACCTGCTGGGCCTTCAGCACACTGTCAACGTGGCGCCCGCCGGCACGGTGGCACGCACCTGCACGCGCAAGGTGACAATGAAGTCTGCGAGGAGCGCACCCCTTGCACACTTATTGCAGAACACACACCCCGCTTGAAGGATGGTCCAATGCTCGCACAAGAAAAAAGAAACTTGTACATGGTGATGAACGGCTGGGTGCGCATGATAGATGCCATATGTTCACCGCGTAGTCTCTGATCCCTCTTCTATCCCCTACAGCTCTGATAGTCTTCAAACCGAACTAGTAAAGACCTGGGGACTCACCCGCAAGTGCCCGATTTCGCTGGATCTGGCATAGTATCGATACAGGTGGATGTATGCGCCATCGAAACGAAGCGTGGCGACAGTGTGCCAGGATTGCGGAAGTGGAGGCTGAGTCCGTTGCGTGAGACGAGACAATTGAGGGATGCTTGTGGTAGCGGACGGTCGGCGGACGAGAGAATGGTGGGGGCGAGTAGGGAAGAAGAGAGGAAGACGCAGACGCAGGATGGGGACTTGGTTGCGAGTGTTATCACCACCCGATCACGTGGTTCCCACGCCTGCGAATTCCCAGGACGTGACGCGTGTCGCACGCGCACACCCAACCGCGAACCCCCGTCGGTCTCCATTAGTATTCATTTTCTTGTCGCCTTTCCACACTTTCCCTTCCTGTAATCAGCCTGACGCACAGAAGGCCCTCACAATTCACTAGGCTTCCATTGGAATGACTGACATAGATTTGCGTAACATTGAAATGACTTGCATAGATTTGCGCGACATTGGAAAGGCTTGGAATGTCCGTGGGACATTTGAAGCCTTTCCAATGTATCGGAGGTTTTTGCTTTTTTGCTGATGACCCTGCAGGTGCATGGGTCAGTCGAGCCGGACCCGGACCCTTACCCGTGGTACCCGACCCGCCAACCTGCATGGGTGGCCCGCACCCGTGGTGATCACTAGTGCAGGGACAGCGAGCTCACTGTCAGGCACAGTGAGCACAGGTGGCAGGGCAGGGAGGTGTGCGGCGCTGGCGTGGGAGATAATGTGGGCGTGGGCACGGGAGATAACGTGGGCAGGGGCGGGAGGGATAACGTGGACTGGTGGGAGATCTGGAGGATGGGGACACGTGATGGGCTGGGGGACTTGGGAGGGAGGGTGTTCGAGCACTTCCCTGTTGGGAAACAGCTCGGGTTTATTGGACAAATTATTCAAACGTGTGGGGGAGCACGGATTCAGGTCTACTTGACCCAGGCCAGTGGCCACCCCCCCCAGTGCCAGGGGCTGAGCCGGCTTGATTGATGTGAGGTGAGGAGCGCCCGGACGCGATCACGTGCGCAGATGCCCACGGTTCGGGAGGCAGGACGCGGACGCGAACTGGACCTTTTCGCTGCTCCTCCGCCACCGCCTGTATCCCCACGCCGTGCGTGCACCTATCTGCACTCAATAGTGCCTTCTTATTCTCCAACCTCGCTCTTTGCAACTCCCCCAGCTCCCTCCTCTCACTCTCTTCCTCGCTCCCTTAATCGTCGCCCCACATGTCCTACTCCAGAGTCAAGATTGCTGCCCGTCTTCGTCCCCCGCTACCTGCAGAGCAGCATGACTCCGCCATTCGCGTCGTCCATACATCATCCAGTCCCGCCATCCACGTCGACAACCCCCGTGACACTTCTCAGACATTCAAATATCCGTACGTCCCCTCTGTTTTCTGCTTGATGTCCATGTTCATGTCCCTGATCCCTGCCGTAGTTTTTCATCCTGCTATGACGCGGCGTCGCAGCAACATGAAATTTTTGATCGTGACGTCCAGCCTCTCATTGAACTCGCTTTCTCAGGCGTCGTGCGTGCCAGTCATCTCCCACTCTGCGAATGCTCTGGCCCATCGTTCTCCTAGACTGTGACCGTGTTTGCGTATGGCGTCACATCCTCCGGAAAGACACACACTATGCAAGGCAGCAGTGACCAACCGGGCATCATTCCTCGCGCAGTACAAGTTCGTTTCTCCCTTTTGTCCCCTTCATTATTCCTTTGACTCGTTGCATGTGCAGGAAGTATTTCGAAAAGCCGGCGACACAGCACAACACGCCGTTGTTCACGCCTCTTATATGGAGATCTACAAGGACGAAGTCTATGACCTTCTCGTCGACCGCGAAACGGTGAGCTCTAGTCCACCGTCCTCAGCGTTCTCCGCGTTTATCGTCAACCACGCCAGGCAAACAAGCTCCCTGTCCGAGAGAATGAGTCTGGTCAAGTCTTTGTGGCCAACCTGTCTCTGGTCACTCTTGAATCCGTTGATGACTTCACTGCCTTGTTCTCGTAAGTCCTGTTATCTTCGATCCTACGCGCTTCTCATTACCTCGAGCAGTCGCGCCAACAAGCAACGATCCGTCGGTTCCACTAATCTCAACTCGGTATCTTCCCGCTCGCATGCAATTCTGACATTGTACATCACTGTGACCGACACGACACGAAACTTAAGTACGTATGCAAGTACTCTTGAAACTTCACTTTCAGCTCACTGCCGCCTCGCCCTTGCAGCTCTATCCGGTAAACTCAATCTAGTCGATCTCGCTGGCTCCGAGAACAACAAGGTAGCCGAACAGTACCATGTTTATGTCCTTCACTGACATGAACTGCAGCACACCGGCAACGATGCGTCACGCATGGTCGAATCCGCAGCCATCAACAAGTCGTTGAGCGTACTCGGACAGGTTGTGCATGCGCTCAATCAAGGAGCGGTAAGCTCTGTATGTCCCCTGTAGGTGCATCAACTGACCTGTAGCCAGAGCCGCATTCCTTACCGCAATTCGAAACTCACCCGAATCCTGCAAGACGCACTCGGGGGCAGCTCGGTAGGTTTGCTCATCTGCAACCTCGCACCCGGCACAAAGTTCCGACAGGATACTCTCAACACTCTCAAGTATGTTGTCATCATCTGCGCGCACCGTAAGGTCACTCATATGCCTTCAGCTTCGCAGTCCGCACGAAGAACGTTCAGAACAAACCTGCGGTCAACCAGTCCAACGCAGTCGCTGGACCATCCAAACCTCAAGGGGTTGCAGCACCGCTGCCGAATGCTGCCGCGACCGTATCAGCTCTACTACGACCCGCACTGCCTCATCCGTCCCGCATGCCTCGTCCGTCGGCCGTTCATGCTCCTTCCGGACGGCCCTCCTTGACGGCCGCCTCGCCTCCCGAACCGATTGCCATTACTAAACCTGCCCCAACGCTTCCCCTTCACCTGACAGAAGATGAGATCAATGCGCGGGTAAGTGATAACCCATCGTGGCGTTTTCAAAACCCTTACCAGTGCTGTCAGATCGCCCGAGCCGTGGAGCTCGAAGTTGCCCGCCGCCTCGAAGAACGCGAGAAACAGCGGCTCGAAGAAGAAGAGGCCGCCATCTCTACCTCCACCTCCCGCAGCAGCAACACGAGTTCGAGCCTCTCCAACGACGGCGACGAGTCCTCGAATGCAAACACAAGCACGAGCCTCCAGACGCTTCCCTCCGGTCTGCTCACGCCCCTCCTCAAGTCCCGCAACACCGAGGACGAGGAGCTCAAGCGGCGCCTCGACGAGCTCGAAGCGAGATTGTGCGATCTCTTCCTGCACCTGGCAAGTCGTCCCTCGGACACTGATTCCGCCTCTTAGCGAGCGTGCGAACAAGGCCGTCCAACTCGCCGACGTGCTCTCGCCCCTGTCCCGCAAGAAAACCGGCCGGGCGTACGTCGCGCTCGCGCGGTCCGAGTCCCAGAAGTGCGTCGCACCGACGCCGTCGCCGGCCGTCGTTCTGTCTGGCTGACGCTCGGTTCGCACAGGGACAACCTCAAGCTCGCGCTTGAGCTGTATCGTAAAGCGCAGAAGTACGTACCCGACAATGATAAGCTCAGGGAGAGGTACATTTCGTCTCATTCACGACCAAGAACCGTCCGCTTATCCCAGGTGTCTAGGATCATTGAGATCCAATGGGCTGTGGACAACAACCGGCCGTTCAAGACCTCTCCGAAACGGACACGCCACCAGCTCAAGCGCGAAGGCTCCCGGAGCAAGTCCAAGCGGAAGCCCACCCGCCCGCTGGCGCCGATGACCGAGGAGGACGAGGCCTCCGAGAAGGAGAACCTTGACGACGCGGTCAAGAGCTCGGGGAAGCGTCAGATCCCGGCTACGGACGCCGAGTCCGACACGCCTCCGAAGAAGCGGCAGATGGTCGACACCGCGGAGGAGTGTGTAGCATGACGAGATACCACATGTATAATTGAGTCTGGAGACTGGGACAGATTTTAGTAGTTCAAACGTGTCTACGAGATACGCGACCTCTATATAGTAATATACGTCAGCGATTCTGGTTATGGGGGACCGTACGGGTATGAGCGACACAACGCAACGGAAGGAGCCAGCTAGGGATACAAGAGAATGTCGAAGATGCAGCGCGAGCGGAGGGGGTCCGTTATGGGAACGGAAAGACTAGGTGATACACGAGGAGGGAAGCGAACAGAGCATAGACTTGGAAATGGGGAGAACGAGGGCGACGTGGCGTTTGGGGTATGGTATCAGCCACTGTTGCGGCCGGACCTGTTCTTCGAGGGGTCGGGTCCGCTGGCAGAGTGACGAGAGGCGGACGAGATATGCGGAGGCGCGGGGTCGAAAGGAGTGTGGTGCACGACTGGCTGGAAAGGCTGCAGCCGCGGCAGCAAGGCGGGAGCGTATATGGAACGAATGGCGGAGTTGAACTGCGGGCCCTCGAGCCCGAGGAAAGACGGAAATTCGGACGTCAAAAAGACGACGCCGACCATGAGAGTGCGTGTGGTGGAAGTGGGATAAAGTAAGAGACCACCCGGGGTTGACGGATCGTTAACATCCCATCGAGCGACGGCGACCTGGACGAGCCCGAGTCAGAATCTCGAGCGTGTAGGAGGCTGTATGAACGACTCGCCGTCTCGTTTTCCAGCAGGTGACGAGCGAGTCCCTCGAACTGCGCCTGGTTGTCTCTCGACACCGCTTGATCAGGCAGCCGGTCCGGCATGAGCATGCACCGAGGGAAGTCGCTGAGCTGGACCTGAGAGACCCATTGGTGAACCTGACGGAGGACTCCTCTGTGATCGACCACTTGGAGCTGGAACTGTCTAGGCCACTGCTCCTGCTGGCTACTTGTGCGGAGCGGGAATACACGTCAATGCGGCTACGCGCGAGTACAGGTAAGTGCGGAACTTACTTATCGTTCTCCGTCTCCGCTGCGGTGACGCGGATCTCTCGCGGTCGCGAGGGATGAGGAGACGAGGTCGGCAGCAGGAGCGAACCTCTCCACGGTTGGGACTGCGGGAGCTGATCCCGTGGAGGCGGTACCAGGGTCTCGAGGTGGGTCGGAAGGCGAAACATTGGAGGATGGATGGCGCTGTCGGTCCCTGGGTACTTTTATGGTGTGTCCTAGCCGGAGTCCCTGGGCCCCAAGCAGGCCACAACAACTGGGCCGCCGCGCATCGAGCTGGTCTGGGAATCTCAAGTGGTGAGCGGCGCGCGCGCATCTGTGAGTGGGCAGAGGTCGGGTGAGCGTGTTGGTGGAAAGCGTCTCGGAAGGAGTACACTACGCAATAATTTCCATGGTCTCCGCGCCATCGAGATCGCGCGCCCATTGTCATGGAGAGCCTGTCGTTCGCACGCGTATGTCGAGCGTGCAGAGGGCCACGAGCCGCGTGCGGCCTGCTTGTGGCCAAACATCCACGCCGTTATCGCCGAGAGCCAGGAACAACTCTACGGAACGGATGGCGATGTCGGGCATGCTGCAAAATTGCACCCCGCAGAGTCCGGCTCCGAGGGCGGATTGTCAAGGAGACCTTTTCGCTTCCCTGTGATACCCGCTGTCCGGGCTCGTTCATCGGCCCTGGAGTTGGTTCACGTGGCGGATAATTGCCGTAGTCGCCCATCCGCCCGCCCCGCTTTCCAAGTCGCCGACGAGATATCCAAACCCCGAGAACTGATGAGGTTGCCTACAACCACGGTGCCACGACAATCAGCCGAAACCCGCCTCGATGAAGATGCTTTGGAGAGTGCTTGATGACATCGTTGCTCGTGTTGCCGTCAGACTCTGTCGGGGTGCACCAGAGGCCCGGTTGCCGGCCTGGAGCGGGACGACGGTGTTCCGGCGGCTCTGGCCAGGGGTGGGAGCAAACCGTGCCGAGATCATCCTAAATGAATTGATATGGACGACCAGCTTCTTCCCGCGATCGAGCATACTCACACGTACCTTATCGCACTTTGCCCAGCCTTCAGGACGCGGAGCGGGCCAAGCCCGCATGCTTTGCTCTCATTCACCGCCGACGGACGCGTTGAGCACCGATTTGTGTCCAAGCCTCACCGTTCCGTCGCCGACCGCGCTTCCGGTCGTGAGGGAAAGACGTCGAGCGCGTCATTCGGGGTCGGTCGTAATTTCTCCGAGGGCGCGCGCACTAGCAGAATGCAGCACGGAAGCAGCGCGCGGTCTGCATCCGAGTAGCGTCCACTGTGGTCAGCACAACATCTCCATAACGCCCAGTTGGATCCAGCGGATCGCACATACCATGATGACCCTGAGCTGACGTCGCCCGAATAGTGGACGTTGTACCGTGTGGTCTTAGCGAACCTCGTAGCCCTGTCGATCGGCCAGCTCGGACATGCGCGTACCTCAGCTGTGTTAGCTAACGAGTGACTCTATCCGACATCGTCGTCATTCCGATGTTTAGCGAGTGCTTCAATGGAGTGAGTGATGAACTTCGAAGCTCGCGGAGGCTGCAAAAGCCACGAGGAGCCACGTGGACCCCGCAAAGAGACACCATGACGTGTTCGGTGCCTCGGGCGGGACGGGGGACCTCCCCCGGAACGTGAGAAACAGAGGTGGGGAGTTGCTGGATAGTCTCCTGCAGAGTGGTAACCGATCGTTCTAGACCGGCAGGTTCGGGTCGAACCGCGATGTCGCCGAATGGTCGTTCCAGTACTTCCCTTGGGAATACAAGGCAGGTCAATGTCGTTGCTCTGGTAGCATTGACTCAGGCCCCACCTCACGGGAATCGGAGCGATCGTCTAGGGCGATGGGAGCGACCCCGGTTATGTCGAACGCGGCGGAGACGTTGGCCCGAGAGACGTTGCTGATGCTTCCCGGGATGGGCGTATGTCGGCGCGCGCCACGTGGAGGTCTTGTTCGACGTAACGCCAGCAAGGTGTTCGAAGAGCATGTTCGAGCTCGTGGCACTCCTCTGGTACTTCTGCCGGCGCCGGGGAGTTGGATACGTTTACGCTTTCGTGCACCACTTGTCCATGGTGGCTGGCAACGTGCGCTTTTTCCGGCGGGTTTTGTAGCAAGCATGCACTATTCAGAATATATCTTGTGCATACAGAGCCACACTAGGGTGCTCACCGGGACATATTTGCCCTCCAGCTTGCCAAGCCAGTGCGAGATAATAATTCGAGGCCAGCGCTGTGTTGCGCCCATTGCGAGAGGTAGAGTTGGCGGCAACTACGGGTGCCTGTAGCCAACTGTCGTGAGATGGGAGAGGACGTGCCTGAGAGGGGGGATGTGAACGAGGAGTAACGAGAAGAGACGAAGCAGGGAAGCACGCACTCAGGAGCGCCATCCGCCTGGTTATGCCGATGCGAGGCTACTGACAATGATGTCCCTGAAAGACGTGGCGACGACGTGTAGGAACTGCTTCGCAAGACAGAGGTCGTCGACACATGACCTACCGGCGAATTCCAGAGCATATAGCCAGACAGCGTGATCGTATTGATCCTGCGTCGAACGATGAGGGCGAAGACGGCGCTCGAGAGGCATACATACCATGTACCGCTCTCGCATCAGCTGTCTTGCCGATGCACAAGTTGTAAGTAGAGACATGCCATGGGCGGGGAGGACAAGGCGTGAGGCCCTGCGCGCCATGCGCAGCCAGAGCACACTGGCCGGGCCGGGCCTAAGCATCTCATCTCCGCGCCCTCACCACGGTGACCTGCCCTGGCTGCCCATGTCCTCTCGCATGCCCCGTCGGTCTTCCAGAAAGCCTTGTGCGGTCGTCAAGTCGCCTTACTTCTCAGACTCCCTGCCCCCCAAACGCCGCAAGCCATCGTCTCCCAAACAGACCGTCATTCCCCGTCCTGCCACAGCCAAGTCTCGATTCTTTCCTCGCCCGCCCATTGACATCGACAGCTACCTGAAGGATCCCCGATTTGTGTGTTTCTACGAGGATTTCGTTGCTGCTATGACCGCCCTCTACCACGCGAAGCCCATCCTGATCCAAGGCACGTTTCATCTCACTCCTACCATTCTCTCTCGACTTAAACATGACCAGACCATGTGTCTGCCGATGTATGGAAAGTACTTGTGGCAGTAACTCTACTCAACAAGACTGCGGGACGCTTGTCTGTCCCCATATTCTTCGAGATACTGAATACTTGGCCGACTCCCACCTCGCTAGCGGGAGGTATGTGCCGCCTCTTTGTACGCTTCGTCCTTCTCGCTCATCCTTCCCTCTTGTTCAACAAGCGTCTCATACCGAGCTCTTCGCCATGATCAAAGACCTCGGCCTGGGAGCAACGCGTGCGCACCGGCTCGTAAGCATCTCCCAAACATTTTTATCTCAGCCTCCTACTCCTTCTACGACATACAAATCCCGCGGAAAGACCACATCGTTGTCGACCTCTCCGACCGGTGAACTCGTATTAATCGAGGTAGACTATCCTCCTACTCCCATCTCCCACATCCCCGGCTGCGGCCCGTATGCTCTCGACTCCTATCGCATATTCTGCGCAGGCGACGAGTGGAAAAATGTACGACCTACGGACAAGGAGCTCATCCGATACCTGGTCAGTTTATGCATCGCCTCTCATCTCCTAGTCGCTCGCTGAGGCTTTCCTAGGAATGGCGTTGGGCCGTCGACAAGTATCGTCAGTGGGATCCTGTGCATGGACCCGGCGCCCCCATTGACCTCCCCTATGTACATCGTCTTGTCGAGTCCCTGGCCAACAACCCACCAATCAAATCATCTTGAACAATGTAACGAAGTCGTTGTGTCTTGTTTCTAGTCGTTGGCTGTACATACGTGGTCTTGCGAGCCTGAGCATCGATGTCGTGCAATCTTGTCGTAATGCATGCGCGTTAGAGGACAGAGCCACGGAGCGGAGGCTGGCACGCATGAACGGAGACGCAGAAACATACATAGCATTGCGCAACAGCGAGCGCGGACGACAAACTACACGCCTATTTTGTTATAGTACAGCGGGCCCGTGGTTGCGGAAACACGGCCCCATCCAGCGGCATCTTAAGGGCAGTGTCTCGGGGGAGTATGCAACAAGAGAAACAGACAGAAAGCGTACGACAGATCAGAATCCCCGTCCTCGCCCACGACCGCGTCCCCTGGGGCGTCCACGATCTCCGCCCCGTCCGCGCCCCCGTCCGCGCGCGTCATCCTTCTTCCTGTTTTTCGGCTTCGGGGCGTCGTCAACCAGGAGGGTGTCGACGGGGAGGGCATCGGGGAGGACGAAGTAGCGGATGTTGTTGCCACGGATGGAGAGGGAGTCGAGCGAGGTCGGTTCGCGATTGCGGGCGGTCATTTTGACGGTTTTCAGGTGGGTGTTCATCTGCATGTCAACACCTGCGGAGCAAAGGATCAGGCATGGATCATGCAAACTACGAACACTGCGCGCACCTGTGATCGTCCCATGGATCACAGAGCCGTTCTTCAGCTCGACGGTGACCGTCTCATTGTTCAGCTTCATCAAAAATCTGCATCAAGGAAGGTGAGCATACTATGACACTGACCTGCGTAGCGTGACGCGCACTCAGTACATCTCAAGAGGGATTCGCTTACCTTACGAGCTTCATCCTGACACACAAGACTGGGCGGCGAGGAGATGGCTGGAGGACGCGAGGCGCGAGTTCGCCCACGCAGACGCGACGGCGCAACGCAGCAGTAAGCGCTTCTATGCTTTCGGACTTTTAATAGATCAACTGGAGTCTGAATTATTGCCATCGGCATCTCAACGTCCAAACAGCCCAGCCTCGGCCACCGGCGACCGCGCGTGATAGGCCAATTCAACCCCGCCTCCCTTCTCGCAGCCTACTCGAATGTCGGTTGCTCTCTCGGAGGCATCCCTCCTTGACCTCGTACCACCACCATCTCCTCCAGCGTCTACCACCTCTCCCCACCCTACCCCTGTACGATGTCGCCCTCTTCGAAGAAGGGCAAGAAGAAAGCATCTCCCCCGGCCGACGACATGGCCTGGGAGACCGAGCGCGACTACCAGCGCGTTCTCCAACAGGCCCTCACGGCCTCCTCCACCATCCTCGCCGGCGGCAACCCCGACGGCGCCTGGACTGACAGTGAGGACGAACTCTTCACCGCACGCCCCTCCCCCCGCCGCAAGAGCCGGACTCCGGCCTCCGCCCCTGCTCCCGCTCCTGCCCCCCCTCCCCCTGCAGCTCCTGCCGCGCCCACGGTGCGAGAGCTCCTCCTCCACCTCTTTGGGGTCGCGCTCCGGCTTGGCCCCATCAACGAGTCCAACTTCGCTGAGGCCTCTGTCCTCTTCAACAAGGCGCCCGGCCAGTCCAGCGACGCCCTCGCCCAGTTCTGGGCCCAGAACACCACGCAGTGTGTGCTGGCCATGGACTACGCCAACATCACGGCCCACTACCGTGATCAGGTCGCCCGCGCGGCCAACCCCCCTCCCCCGCCGGCTGAGACGGACGCCATGGACGTCGCCCCGGCCGACCTCCCCCCGACTGCGCCCCTCCCCGCCCCACCCCTCCAGGCGGCGCCTCCGGCCTCCCCCCCGCCTGCCCCCATCCTCGAGGCTGCCCCCGTGGCCAGCCCCGTGCCCCCGCTCCCACGCC